TGGGGTTAATGCCATAACGAGGTAGTAGATAATTGGAAAAATTTTTCCTTAAAGCCCCCCCCCCCCCCCCATTCCCATCCCCTTAAGTTCTGCTGGGACTGGTCATTGGTGGTTGAGATTCACTTGTAGACATCTGAGTGGCTTATCAGATATTAAAGCTTCTATAATGTCTGCATCCCCCTGCCACCGCGTTTGTCAAAATGTGCAGTGATTACCCATTAGAGGGACTGGACGGGGTGCGTAGCTCTTTAAGTTTCAGTCGTTTTCTAGATAAGGCGTTCTAGACTGTAGAACAGGTGTTTCCACTCCATACGTTGTGGAAAGACCCCAGAAAATGTGTTGCCAATAAGGGAACAGTGTGGGGAATCTGGGGAAAAATCTATTTTAATATACAGTAAGGTGCCAAACTCTTGATACTGCTGCGACCATACTGTAAAATAACTCTGTCATCTCTGGCAGCCAGGTGTGGCATTAATCCGACTGCACTGTGCGAGGTGGTTGTGACGTGGCTCGCGGCCAGACTTCCGTTGTCAAAATACCATGTCCGTAGGGTAAAGAGCTCAAGTGACAGTTAGCAGCTGAAGTTGTCCTCTGAAAAATTCTTGGCAGTTTTCTGGGCATCAGTTGTCTACATCTAGCCCATATCTGGAAGACCTGTCACTAGCTAACCACTAATTCTATTGGTGTCCAGTTCAGCAGGACACTTACACGTGCACTCCTGTGTCCGCCTGCCCATATGTTCCCCTTGTGCCTATCTGCATGGTATCTAATGGCTATAACCCTTCACACACCTGCTCTTTCACCCCCTAACCCACTTCGGCAGCCCATCAGCAAGTCACTTTGTTGCTAGGCCATTTCTGGTCCAGTTCCCAAACACTACTAAACACAGCTGGCTTCAGCGACCAGTCACAGAAACCTGGGCAGCTATGATTGTCGTTTCTACGTGTCACGGTGTTTCCCATAATATCCAATGTATTAAAATGGCAAAGAACCTTGTTGTCCAGATAGATCCTACTTTGTAGCTCTCTCTCCTAGATGCATTCCTTTTGCTCCACTTAAGATGGTTCTGGCATATGCTTGCTTGCCCCATTCATCCCTCTGCTTGATTGTATAATCATTAGATATCAGCGATTAGCTCTGCATGCTGGAATTGTATTCACTGAACAACGTGCTTTCATTTTATTCTCTACGTGTTCAGGGCAGCTCCATTGTAGAGAGAGAGAGACAAAGCGAGCTGGCAACACATCAGCAGGTGTAAAACATAGAATAATGAATGTCCCCGAGGTAAATATGAGACTAAACTTCCCCGAACAATTTCTCCAGTGCCATAAACCATGAGCTTGAATTAAGCTTAATGATGATTTTCAGGGTCAGCTGTCATAAACAAGCACCTTGAAAGATTAGCAACTTGTTTCAGTGAGAAGGGTGGGAACATACCGGGTATGTTCTTCCTCCCGCCTTAGGTCTGCGATTGGAAAGGAGCGTGGGGAGGAGGAGGGAAAGGTGTCAGAAAGCATTTTGGGGGACATAAAGTTTGTTACACTGAAATAGTCTGTTAACTGGAGCTCGGAAAATACTGCCAGAAGAATTTTCACTTTCATTTGACTGAATTTTCTTGTGATTGCATTTGAACATAAACTCCTATGCATTTGGGGGTTTAGAAGCAGGAGAAAAGTAAGTGCATGTTTGTTGTTTTTTTACCAGCATGAATATCTACGTAAACCAAATGTTGAAGTTCTAGAAATAGGTTATTCATGCCAGCTGTGTGCGCGCTCATCAAATCAGGAACAGCCATAAAAAAGGGTAATATTTGAGCAACACATCACAGCTTGATTTTTTTTTCTTCAAAGTCTGTGTTTTGAACACACACATCATATGGATTGGCTCAGTTTAAAAAAAAAAAAGCCCAAGAAAGAAGAATAAGCACAAAAATCATTCTTGGAAAAATTGGAGTGCTAAATAAAGTTGTGGCTCTCCTCTCTGGTTTGTCACTAGTTGAAAGAAGGTTACATTCTTTTAGATTAAAATAACAGCTATGAATTATTTGCTCTGGTTGGAGTTTGACTCTTAACGTTCTCATCAGTGTGATTTCAGTGACCTTAACAGAAGGCTCCTTCCAGCTCCCGGCAAAGCTATTTTAAGTGGCACGGCTGCTTCATTCTCTGCTGTGTTTTATAGAAGGAAAACCCGTTCGGTGTATATTGTCACTGTGCAGTCTTCGTACCAGGCTTCCTCTCTTTTATAACAGAATATTCACACAGTAGGAGCTGCTCTGTATGTATGCAGGACAAAAGGTTTCTTGAGTAATTTTTATCGTTTAAAATCGGTAGTAAAGCTAGTAGAGATTGTTCCCCTAGGACAGAAACTAATTAATAGCTCTAGTAATTGTCTGGGCAAGTTTTTTGTTATTAGCCTGCTGCAAAGAAATGATTAGATGGTCAAATATGACACAGCTTGGTCTTATGGCTAACTGCAAGAGTATGTATTGCATGTGCAGACTATGATATAGCTGGGGAAGGCTCATTTAATTGACTTGCGGGTATTGAGGGAATGTTGCATATCTGTGATTTAATCGGTAAAGATAAGACATGCCTCAAGAATCCTAAAACGTTGAACTCAGGTACAGACACTTTTATCCCGTTCCAGTAGCACAAGGGTGAGGCTTTACGGGAAGAAACTTTACAAGGTGTCTAATGTCACTTACTGGGGAAGGAAATCAGAAGTTGGATGAAACCATCCTTAAAATGCATGCACACATGCACGTATCTGTGTAGTATATAGTAAACTATTATGAAATTGGCTTGACTGAATGTGGAAAAATACATTTCTAGTTCTGAAGTCAACAAGGTTACACCTGCAATTTGTTTCCCAAGGAATGATAAACACAGAGGAATTGCTGGGCCATCCATTTTTGGTTTAATGCCACTGAAATCAGTGGTGATACAATCAAGGATTAATCCAGTTGGTGTAACATCTTAGTTCTAAATCCTGGAAAGCCTTTTGCATCCATGTATCTGTGTAGTCTTTGAGATGCCTTATCATAGCTAAAACATAATCCTTTTCTAAATAGAGGTGCCCCAGACTCAGTTTGTATGGTAACTTAATACAAATGTAGGCATGCTATTTTGCACACGTATGTTGTGCATAATATGAATACTTTGCCAGTTCCCTTACCACAGCACTTGAAAAAGCTCTGCACACCAATTCGATCAGCGGCATGACCACGTGTTGTAGCTGCCCTTGGCGTGGACCCTGCTTCAATGCCTCTGCCTGATCCTAATGGTGGATCCGTGGGGGCAGATCCGTGCACCTGTGTTTCTCCCCATGGACCTGAGGGCAGTTCTATGCAAGTACTGAAGCCTGTGTAGGTGTCTCCAGTTGTACAAATAAAGGTCCAGTTTCATATATCCAAGTGTGATAGTCACAGGTGCTTGCTTTCCCTGAAGCATGTGGTCGCTCAGAGGCCCATGCTAGATCAGAAACGTGGATATTCAGTTCCAAGGATGTGAAGGGCTGGAAGGTTAAAGGAGAATTATCTATGTGGCATGGGCTTGCTGCCATGTTGTTTTTCACGTTTGGGAACCGCAGCAGCGCTCCTTGACTTTCAGTACCTGCAGTATATTGCTCCAAACCACAAACGGATTCTGTTGCTCTAGTAACCAGCTCCAGGAAAACGAGCAGGAGGAGCTTTGTGGTAAGCGGAGGAAGATCGAATGGGACACACACACACGAAGACACATTTGTGCCTTACAATGGGTATCGAAAGAATGGGAAAGAAATTCTTCCATTTCAGCAGCTGAGAGTTAATTTAGCACAAAGGACATGACAATAGCAGCTTCCAAAGAGCAGGTGAAAAAAAAATCTGTTACATCATTAACACTGAGAAAATCATTTGATTAATTGGTTTGCTTATTTATTCCCCCCCCCAATAAAAATAGGATGCTTATTTACATTTCTTAAAATTTTACTCGCATTATGTTTTATGTCTTTAAAATAAATATGTGTTTCACTTCTAAAGATTACAAACTGGGCAACACATTGCAAACAGTTTAAGTGTTTTACCCATATGTTTATGTATATTCATCATAAAGAAGCAATTTGGAACTAGGAGTCCCCCCACCCTGTGGGACCACACATGGCTAATTATTTCTGCAGCTTCACTGACACTGTTGCTTCCGTCATTAATTTCTGGGGTTTTTTCTACCTTAATGGTACCGTAAGTATTGGGATATACTTGCCACACAATTTCTTCCCATTTCTGCTAATAGGTGTTATTGGGGGAGGGAGAAAGTGTGAGATCGGTTCTATTGAAGTCTATAGGGACTTTGTTATTAAGAGATTTCTTGGCTCTCATGTGAGGCATGTGATGCAGTAGGAGGATGAGGGGAGGAACATATCTAGTTAAGTCCTTGTTGAAAATACCAAACATAACTTGCTGGCTTTTGA